AAGATGCAAATCCCTAGTGTTGACGAAACGTCGAGAACTAATCTCAGAGGACGAAGGCCTAAGAGCCCGAACAAACATTTTAACAAGTTAGACGATGGTCGTGAAAGCTTAACGCATTTTATCTTTGATGAATTTGTAATAAAGTCCTCGCGACACTTGGGACAAGATATTTAGATTGCTATGAAAAATTTTAAAAGGAAATAGTGGGCAATAAAAAGTAAAGTGAAGTCTGATTGGCTTTCAACGAAGATGTCAACTGGCTCTCAAAGCATCATTTTGGGTTGGTTACAGAATCGTAAGATCTAAACAAGCTCGTACAGTGACAGAAAATTTGACAGGACCTAACGCTAAACATATTACAATGTGTATGCATGGAGAGAAAGCAGCAAAAATTGACAATGTGTCCTTATCAAACAACATAGTATAAAGGAGAATTAATTATTTGTAGTCAGCTGGACGAGTCGACCGATATAGTAAACTATGCAATAAGTATAGCTCGTGTATGTTAGTTACATTTTGAAAAATTCTTTTTAAGATTATGTGTTATTTTTAAACCTACTGGAAACTTATTCGACTGATGCAGCAAATTTTTGATTCTGGTTAACAACTATTTTGAAAAACATGAACTAAACTAGTTTTTTGTTTATTTTTATGCACAGACAGTGCAAAATCAATGACTGGAACATATTCTGGTGTTGTGGCACGAGTAAAGAAAATCAAAGAGGATATAGAATGGACTCACTATCGTATTCATGGGCAAGCATTGGCATGTAAGGGTATTCCTACATAATTGGCGAGTACTTTAAACAACGCTATTCAGTGCAACAAATTCTAGTCTATTCCATAAAATTTGTGAGGACTTGGGAAGTGTCTAGGACCCACTTATTTAAATTAAAGTCTGAAGCTCAGGATTTTTTTTGAGCATCCATTTTATTTGTCTGCTTCGCTAAAATTTCGGGCCAATGCTTTTTAAATGCATTTATTATGTTTGAATTCTGAGAAAACTGATAAATATTTTTAAAAAATTTAAATGCAGAACGGAAGATTGCATTATTACCGATGGCCGAAAGTCCTTTAGAATAAACAAAAAGTTTATTTTTAATGAGATATTTCAAATTAAAAATCACAATTAATTTTCTCTTCTTTTTCACCCCTGTCACTTACTAAAATAAACACAGAAGTTTTCAGGGAATTTTGGTCATCGGTAATAATGCAATCTTCCATTCTGCGTTTAAATTTTTCAAAAATACTTATTAGTTTTCACAGGATTCGAAAAAAAAAATGAATGTATTTAAAAAGCATTAGCACGAAATATTGCGTAAGCATGTGAGAAAAGTTATAATTTTTAGTGATAACTGTGCCGGGCAAAATAAAAACATAAACGTTCTTTGTCTAACCTTCGCCACATTAATAAAAATCGCTTTGAAATTATTAAGCATGTTTTTTTAATGTCAGGGTATTCGATGATGGGATGTAATCGGGATTTTGGTTGAATAAATTAAAGATCAAGGACTGTGAGGTATTTTCTAAAGAACACTATATACATTTCATTATATACACTAAAAAAATTACAAATTCCAAGTTGTTAATGTTACAAGGGAAATTTTTATGGATTTAGATTAGTTTAAGTATTCTTCAAAAAGCAGCAACTAAATCTTAAATAAAAACTTCAAGGATGGCAGAATATTCGAATTTTCAAAAGATTTTAACATGGACTTTAAAATTTAAATAGCAGATAACACGGATATTCCTACAAATGTCATACTCCAAAAGAGAGATTCTTCTTCTTCTAGATCCATGACCGTTATCGATCGTTGGCTATCATGTTGGCTACCATATTCGCTATTGTGACTTAATTGACAGCAGTTCTAAATAACGATGTAGTTGATTTTCCATACTATTGCCTTAGATTTTTCTGCCATGATGTTCTTCTTCTACCAGAACCACGCGTACCCTGGATCTTTCCCTGAATGATCAGATGTAAAATATCATATTTTTCAGGCTGTCTCATAATGTGACCGACGTATTCCAGCTTGAGTTTCTTTATTATATTGACCAGTTGTGTTGTTTGGTTCAGCCGTCTAAGGACCTCCTCATTTATAACTCTGTCGACCCAGCTTATTTTCAAAAGAGAGATTAGTACAACTAAAGTCGAAGAAACTGTAGACGATAAAAATCAAATTAAGTTTAGTTAAAGCATTATTTGTAAATTATAAAAATTATTTTAGTGCTATTAGCTTTCACATACTTTGTTAATATAACTATGTTTATTGTTGTAGAATAAAAAATACTAAACCCTGTTCTTTTCATTTTATAAAAATCTTTTCTCTTTTAATAACGGTATAGTTTTATGGGATTAAGTCACAATTGGTTGTAATGATAATTAAATTTAAGAAAACTTTTTTTTTTCTTTTAAAAACTATGATTATCATTACAGCCAATTGTAGCTAAATCCCATAAAACTATCATCATCATTCCATCATACAGCCTCTATTTATCACGTCCACTGCTGGACATAGGCCTCCCTTAAACTCCTCCATTTCTCACGATTTTGTGCTCTTTGTTGCCAATTTTTAGTGATACGCCTGATGTCGTCGGCCCAACGTGTAGGTGGTCTTCCTCTACTGCGTTTGTCTGCTCTTGGCCTCCAATTTGTAATTTTGCTCGTCCATCGTGAATCGTGCATTCTCGCTACATGGCCTGCCCAGTTCCATTTTAGTTCCGCTATGCGTTCCACAACATCAGTAATACTCGTCCTTCTTCGCAGATCTTCGTTTCTTATTCGGTCCCTCAACGTCACTCCCAGCATAGACCGTTCCATTCGTCTCTGTGCCACTCTCAGTTTCGAAGCCGTCGTCTTGGTTAAAGTCAGTTTCCGCCCCATAGGTCATGACCGGTAATACGCATTGGTCAAACACTTTTCTTTTGAGGCTAATTGGTATGTTGGCCCTAAGTGTGTCTCGCAGTTTTCCAAAGGCTGCCCATGTTAAAGTAATTCGTCTTTGGATCTTACATGTTTGGTTATCCCTGCTGATTCTTATTTCATGACCCAAATACGTATATTTCTCCACCAGTTCTACCACTTTGTCTTGAATAGTCAAATGGTTATTGGGGACCAAATTTGTCATAAAATTAGTTTTGGTCAAGTTCATTCTCAGGCCCACCTTCGAACATGCAAAATCAAATTCGTTTAACATATCTGTTGCTTCTCCTAAATTATCTGTGATAAGGACAATGTCATCTGCGAAACGGAGATAGTTAAGCTTTTCGCCGTCTATCGTTACTCCTCTGTGATCCCAATTGATCATCTTAAAGGCATATTCTAATGCCGTTATGCATAATTTCGGCGACAATGTATCTCCTTGCCTTATTCCACGATTTATTTTTATTTATCGGGTTTTATTGTCTATTTTAACAGTCATAGTGGCATTTTTGTAAATATTATAAATAAGCTCACTATACCTATGGTCATTCATTGCTTCTATAAGGCTGTCTAATTCGATCGTGTCGAACGCTTTATGAAAATCTATGAAAGTGAGAACAAGAGGTTTGTTATATTCTATAGATTTTTCAATGAGTGTCTTTACTGTATGGAGGTGATCATTGGTACCATAATTTAAGCGGAATCCTGCCTGCTCTCTCGGTTGGTAGAAATCTAATTTTTTTCTCCAATCTTGATGTCACTACCCTAGTGAAGAGCTTGTATATGTGGTTCAACAGGCTAATAGGTCTATAATTTTCTAGGTCCGTTCTATCTCCTTTTTTATGCAAAAGGATGGTTGTAGCATTGTTCCACTCTTTGGGCACCTCTCTTTGCTGCAAACATAGATTGAATAGTTTCCTTAATTTATTTAATAGCATATCTCCTCCATTTACGATAGCTTCTATTACGATTCCATCCTCTCCTGGGGCTTTGATATTTTTCATTTTTCTTAATGCTTGTCGAATCTCATCTAGCTTTATCTCTGGCATTAGTTCGGAACCTTGATTCTTGATCTTCTTTGTAATGGCTGTTTGTATTCCTGTTTGTAAAACTCTTCGACGACCTGTATTAACTCGTCTCTACGTGATATTATTTCATTTTGCTTGTTTCTTAATTTATAGATTTCGCATTTCCCATTCGTTAGCTTTCTACGTAGAACTTTTAGGCTGTTATTTTCCTCTATAGTGCGTTTAATATAATCGGTATTAAATTTCCTTAAAACTCTCCTAATTGCTTTCGAAACAGTTTTGTTCATTTTTTTTAAAGTGTTGCTATCTACATTCTTATCGCTTCTCATTTGTCTTCTTTGATCCAAGAGCGTTTCAGTATATGGACTTATTTTACTATCTGATTTTCTTTTAGGACAGTGCACTCGGTGACTTTCTTCTAAAACTATACCTTTATCAAACATGCCATAAATAAATAGCTTCATAACTTATCCTCTTTTTTTAAGTTTTGGGGGAACAAGTGAGGGAACAAGTTTTGTTAATAACATAAAACTTGTTCCCTCTCACTATTCTAATATGTTTTAAACTTTATTCTCAGTTTTCCAGAAACGTGTTTTTGCAGTTCACCCTTGCGCTTCCAAGCTCCTGAATGTAAAGGAGTTTGAAATACTAAGACTTACATACTTTTAAGTCGTTACATCTTTTAAATTTATATCCATTTCTTGAAACTCAATTTGAATTCCAGTTTTTATCCTTTTATCCACTTCAGAACTCTGGAGAACTTATCTGTTAACGTTCGTATTTTATGTCCAAGGTAGATATATATTCCGATACGTTTTCCAATATTAACTTGTTGTTCTTCTTTTTTGTTGTGGTTGGTGTTTTGACGGTATGAATGAGGCAGATAAAAGTAAATTATTGAATTTTTTTACCAAAGGACAAAATAATAAAACCATAAAAATATATTCCCGTTTTCACAAAAATGAGAAAATCATATACACCTCAAAAATAAAATTCTTGCATAATGATTTTCTATTGACTTTTATTAAAAATCATTAATTTTGTTACAGGTGGCACCACTGGCAAACTTAGAAGACGATCCACAGCTGCCTCCCGATCACGACTAGCAGCCTTTAAACGAACTCTATCATTATACTCACCCCTTCAAACCTGTTATCCAGGTTTCTATCCTCCTTCCCCTGCGCTTTTGGCTGCAGCATACTCTCGGTATAACCCTTACCTTCACACTCCAGCTGCGACAAATTTCCTTCCGCGTCCCACTCCCATACAACCACAAAACCTAGGGATCAATCCTTCTGCGATGGATATCAACACAACGCCGTTGTTTAGGCCACCGCACCCCTTATTTGAAATGTACAACAACTTACGTTTAGCAGTGCCTTTGCAATATCCTTTGCAGATACCTGGATTGGCTGGCGTCAGCAACTTAAACACCTTAAGTAATTTGAATCTCCCGTCGTCGAGTTGTTCTAGCCCCCAAGAACCCAGGTCATCAGGCGAAGGACTATTGAAACCGGTGACTGTTATAACTAGGAATAATTGAGATTTTAGTGATTCTGTGATTCGTATTTAATTCGTGTATATAATACGAGATGTTTCATTTCAAAATGAACTAGTCAGCTATAAAAACGCGAAAAAGCGATGATATAATCAGTTATATAACTGGTAAAGTCACGCTAAGATGGTTTGTTGAAATTTGGATTTTCAATAAAATTAGTAGATATGATGATTCATTTTAAACATATCTTATTTTTATAACATATTAAAGCAATGAGTTATTAAGAAACCATGAATGAGTTATTAAGAAAACATATGATTTCCAAAGCAGTTTTTTTATAATCTAAAATTTTTCTGAAAAATTTAAAATGAGCTGTTGCAAAATAGCAAATAATGTAGGTATTTTATATATTATTATAAAAAACGAAAGCGGTGCGTCAGAAGAATGAAGTATATACCATTGTGAAGTACGCAATGACTTTATTTATTTAGCATTTATTTCTTTTCATGGAAAGGCACGAAATTGAAGCAATATTAGTTCTGTTCTGATACTATCTAATTGTGAAAAATTGGTCCTTTGGAATTCACAATTTGGCTGAATGGATCAAGTAATAATTATTAAATAAATTTTACTTTACTTATCGGTTTTCAGATTTGTTAAAATATATTTTGAAAACCGCATCCGATCTGAACGTTAAGACTTAAGTAAGGAGATTATTTAACGATGATGTAGATTTATTTCAAGTACAACATGACAAAAAGTATTATTGTAATAGATACAATACATGTAAAGATAACTTTCTTCTCAAAAATATTATGTCTTTTGTATTTTTTTGCGTATCTAACCCAATTTTCTTAAATTGATAATTTTTTAAATTTAAATATTATTATTTGTTTGCGTTTTTATACATCAATTAAAAGATTCCAGGAAACCTTGGTAAGGTTGAGGCTATTTAGCTCAACCATAGCACAGCACAGCCATAGCATTGTGATGATGATGATGTAAAAGCTTACCACCAAAACTGAAACATAACTTTCGATGCTTAAGGCATTTTTTTTTCACAGCTGTTTTTATTCTTAGCTACTGGATACCTCTTTTTATCTTTCTTCTGTACTTCATATAATTTGTTACATTACTTGTTAGGTAACTTTAATTACTGGGTTATATTTAGTCTTATTTGTGATTTCAAAGAGTTATACGTTAGATATATGATCTATAATTACTGGGTTATATTTAGTTTTATTTGTGATTTCAAAGACTAGCAGTCCTATGATCTCTTTGGTATTCATTTGAGAACCTTCTTCTATTTGGTGTACAATTTTTTCAATTCCACGTTCTTTCATTCTCATTAAATGGTAATTCCAAGTTCTTCTTTAATCTTTTTTCCATCTCACTACATCTTGGCCATCAAATATTTGCCTGATATCTTTGATCCTGATCTAAACAACTCTTAACAGACTTTTTTTCTCAAGGTATTATCTTTATTTCTAAATAGATTCTATGTTTTTAAAATTTAATCCTAAATATTCAAATATCAGTTTCTTTTTTTGTGGTTTCAGTGGTTTTTAGCACATTTTTTTTTGTTCTTCACTAAGTGATTCAACTTTGTCGGCTTTATCTTTACATGATAAGACTATCTTTTACGAGATTTTCAACTCTTTTTCTATTTGTATTTTAATTAAGAATTGTTTGGACTAGTCTTTCGTTTTGTGTGAGTATTTTGTCTCCATTTATCTTTATAAAAAGCTATCTTATCGTTTATATCATATATGTCTCAATTTTCTATCAGATATCTCCTTTTGCAGCCTTAACTCATTTTTAAAATTTCCCTTCTGCTGTCTGTATTCTATTACTATGTTTTCATTATTTGTCCATCATGGGTTTTTAGTTAAAAGTGTATATCAATACAATACTTTTAATACATTTTTGAGTAGTTATTCAAAGTTTAATGGAAAAAATCAGCTGCAAATCAAAAATGGTATATATGAAAAAATATCCATTGTGAATATTTTTGTATCTAAAAAACGAAATGACTTAAAAACTAATGGGACACCTGTATAAAAGTCTTTCTTTCCAAATTTCTTGCACCTTGAAATCGTCATTGCAAAAAAAAAACGGAAAAGCTTAAAAAAACTAATGGGATACCTGTATAAAGTCTTTTTCCAATTGTCTTGAACCTAAAAATCATCATTGCAAAAATTTTCGTCTTTGACATTTCTTTTCCTTCTTTGTTCTTAAATAGGCACATTAGCCCTTACCATCTTTTAAAATATTTCTGTGGAGTTCTCTTCGAAAGAAAGCATTTTATACTCTATTGCCCTTAAGTGATTTTACCAAACTGACTTAAATTTTTCAAGAATTATCTTTTAGCTAAATTAAAGTCCAGATTATTGCAATTATAAATCACCATATCATTGATGGCTGCTCATTTTGTAAGGAAACAAAAGAGCTAGATACCATATTTTGCAGTTTTGTAAACCGCTGTAAGTTAGCAAGAGCTTTTCTACGTTGTAATACTACCATTACTTATTACTATTAAAGAACAAAATGTACTCCATTTTACGTAAATTTCTACTGATCACTTTTTATGTACTCTATAACCAATCCCTGGTCTTCAGCAGATCAATTTAAACAAAATTAGATACATAAATGAACAAAACTCTGAAAGTTTACCTTCCTTAACACAGTGCCCTATTTACAAGTTTACTCAGAATCAAAGATATGGTCACTATCTGGAGAAAAATCTTTGTCGTTGTAGTCCTCATAATCACTAAACCCACTCAATTCATCATATCACCGCATTACATGGAATACTCTCTTTAGAAAGAACCCATTTCAAAAATAAAATACTGTTAGCCTAGTGGTACCACGCAGACCCCAACTGAACTTTATCGCTGGCTATTCAGAGCACTACTAAAGCACTCAAAAGTACTGTGGCAACCCACAGTACTTTTTATACAGTAACGCCAGTTGAGGGCTAAACAATTTTTTTAGCTTAGGCTATAAAGTCTTGAGTGATTTTTACAATAAATTACAAAAGGTTGGCTATAATACACAGAACAATTATTTCTTAAAAAATGAAACATCTTGTATATTTTAATGTGTAAAAATGTAAATATTTAATAATTGTATAAAGTAACTGTTAGAATGTTGTATATTTTTGCAAACAGTGTATTGTGCATTTTTAGATGCATAGTGATTAGTGTCCGTCAAAACTATTCGAGCACAACTTCTGTAATAAATTTTTAATATTTTATAAGTGGCTTTTATTGATAATCCTCTAGTATTGCCGTTGAAAACATATCTCACTTACATATCATAAGGCAGACAAACTAAGCCATGAATAAAATAGCAATATTTCAATTTTATGAAAATTCAAAGATACGGAGAACGAGTTTGTGCTATGACAGGTAGTAAAGAGTCTGATACTGACCAGAGTCAGTAAAACGAAAGTTTAATCTGAATAAAAATATATTCGAATAACAAACAAAATAAAATTTACTTCTATACAATTCTTAAAATAAAAAAGATGAATCCTCTTAACTAAAACAAAAGGGTTTCGATCTTTGACGTTGATGAATTACAAATAAATAAATATTGGTGGTATTCAAATGGGTAGGATGTAGGACGATATCTAGTCAATACTCAAAGACCAGGGAGAGACCGCTTAATACTTGGCCAAGGCGAGGTGCGGTACAGTTCGATCAATACTCGATCGCGTGGACGGGAAAAATCAGTGATCGCCAATCTGTACTCAGGTACCGGGATAGAAGTTCTTGCAGATTAATACTCCCGACCGAACTTATTACTCGTCGTACTTCATCTACATCCTACGTCCTACTACATTTTATACTTCTGGACGGTGCTCCATCTCCAGCGCATATCAATGGTAAGGGTAGGTTGTTGGTGAGAGTGCAAGCATACAGAGAAGGTTATTGCCAAGTGATGACGGCGTTATGGTTACAGTGCTGTGATTTACACATGTATAAAACACAGTTATTAAAATTGAAATTATCTTCCACAAAAGTGATATTTTAAGTTATAATCCTTTATATTTTAGACGTCTCTAAATGTTTGTTGAAGTAAATCCCTTCTTTTCCCATCAAATAAACTACTCTTTAAAATTTATGGGCCTTATTCTTCGAGTGACCTTTCCTTTAATTGAGACTAATTATTACTCTGACCAAACGAAGTCTAGCCTAAACCTATCTATTTTCTGATGTTTTTCATTTATAATCCGTCCTCTTAACTTTCCACTACAGGTATAATGGTCAACAACATTGCCGAATTTCATCAGAAAATGAATGTCCGTTGTAGTAGATCCTTTCTCTTCTCATCAAATAAACTACTTTTTAAATTTTAAGGCCCTTCTTCTTTGAGTGACGTCTCCTTTCATTGAGATTAATTATTACCCTGACCAAACGAAGTCTAGCCCAAACCTATTTACTTTCTGATATTTTTCATCTATAATCCGTCTCAACTTGACTTTGCATTACAGGCTCTTATGGCCAACACCCTTGTCGAATTTCATCAGAAAAAACGAGCTACTCCAATGCATTTCGCAGGGTAAAATTGAAGGAAAAAGAGCCCCAGGACGAAGAAGAATATCTTGGCTTGCTAACCTGAGAGCATGGTATAGAAAGACCTCAACACAGCTATTTCGTATAGCAACCAACAAAATCATCATTGCCAGAATGATCGCCAACGTTCGGAACGGACAGGCACCCTAAGAAGAAGATCAGAAAATGATTTGAAGAAAATGTACGTTTTTGTATTACAGTATAAATAGTAAATATAAATGGTTTTACTAGTGAATGAACAGCTTTCAGAAAAAGCTGATTTAAGCAGATTAAAAAACTTCTAACAGCAACTTTCTTTAATCATTACGCTCGTGCAGGTGATGTGGCTTCAGGTTTCCTAAGGCTTATATTTTTAGCGCTTATTAAGAGAAATATTCTGGGCTTCATGCAAGGCAAATCAACAACAGATGCAATTTTCATTATAAGGTAGTTAATGGAACACTACAGGATAAATACAAATGGTTT